CTTGCCCTTGTCGGGGGCACAGACAAACAAGGAAATAAATGATCATGCTCCTTTCCGGAGGAGACTGAGCAATGAGGACAGCAAATGGGGTAGGGGTGAGGGATGTGGCAGCTGTCTGCTGTCCCCGCCAGACAGGGCTCTCCCAAATGAGTACCCTCTCCCCCTTCCCATCCTCCTTTCCTCCTCTCCAAGCCCCATGCAAGGACAGCCCACTGTGCCTTGGGCTACAGCTGAGTCTGCACTCGCCCTGCACACTGTGAGCCCGGCAAGGGTGGACAGGATCTGTGGCTCTGCTACTCCGGTGCCCAGAGACCTTTGGAGGATGCTTTGGAGGCAGGTGCTCGATCAGCTGCTTTCAGACCTTTCCCCGCTCCTGTTGCGCCCCCAGGTGGGGTAGGACTGTTCCTGCAGCCACCCCAGACTGGCCCAAGCCCACAACAAGGAGCCCTCAGATGCCTCATGTATACCCACGGCTTCACAGACCCCCGCCGGGACCCTTGTAGTGAGCTGAGATGCTTTGAAGGGTTAATGAATAAAAAGGTATAATGCAATTATAGTTGCTAGGGAACTTTAATGAGTGCTATTTGCTTCTGTACAAAGCTTGCGGTTAGCAATTGTTAGAATTCAGGGCCTGATCGCCCTCCATGATCTGTGTTTAATCTATAACTTAGATTGTGCTTTACTTCAATGATTGTAATTTGTCTTTGGGTACCAGAGATCTGTGAGAACAGCCAGATCTCAGGACTCTGTGTCATTGAAATACTGATTGTACACTCTGCCTTTGTTTTCTTTGTTTTAGAGTACCTGTTCTATGGCACGTAGCCCCCCAAATTAGTATAAAATTCCTGTAAAAGCTAAAGACTGGTGCCACTCTCTTGTACTGCTTTTATGCGGGCAGAGGTGGTCGCTGGCCAGCTAATAAAGACTCTCAATTTGGCTCCATTAAATTCTCTCGTGGTCTGTTCGCGCCCTCCACACTACAACACCCTCTCTTCCCAGGGATAATGAAGATTATAAAGGAGAAGCTGTCATTCTCCATTACTGGGACCAATGATTTCAATCACTTTGGAAAATGTTTTCAAACAAATGCTTTTTAACCTCTTAGCACGTAAAAGTCTTTTTAGAAAGGTAGTTCTTCTAGAAGTTCTGTATCAACATCCTTAGGGAATGATTAAGAACTAGGCCCAGCCAGCCATGAGGCTCACCCTGTAATCCCAGCACTCCAGGAAGGTTAGGTGGGAGGATCACTTGAGTCCAGGAGTGTGAAGTTGCAGTGAGCTATGATGATGCCACTGCTCTCTAGTCCAGGTGACAGAGCAAGACTCTGTTTAAAAAAAAAAAAAGGTAAAGAAGTAGGAGTCTACAGGAATGCTTATATGGTATTGAACGAGTTCAGCCCCCAAACCTTGAGTTGGACCAAGTAGGATTGGGTGTTTGACCTTGTCACCCACTGGCCCATCCCGCTCCTGAGAGAAGAACCACGTCTTGTTCCTCTTTGTGTCCTCAGCCCTCCCGTGGCGCTTGGTTTCCTGGCAAGCCCTTGGGGTTTTGATGAAATTCCTGTATTTTCCTGTCTGTCTTGCATTCCTTTCGGGGTGCCTAGTTTTTGTCTAGCTGTTCATTCACTCAGCCATTCTGACAGTCACTTATTCAGCAGATATCTGAGTGTTCTAGGCACACACTACCTGCTTGCTGAGAATACAGCCAAGTCCACAGAACTAACATCCAGTTGTTATGCCTGGAGGAGGTGAGGCTGACAGTAATCAGATAATGACACAGACACTATTGCAAATTGTAGTACCATGGAGGGGACACACTGGGCATCTTCAGGATCAAGGTGAGGCTGGAGAGGAGCGACAAAGGGGGTAGAAGCCAGGTCCTATGGGGCCCAGCAGGCCATAGGACAGAATCCAGGTTTTATTCCAGTATAAGGAGGAGCTGATGAGAACTTCAGGCAAAGCCCTATATATCTGATTTATGGTTTTTGAAGACCCCTTTGATGGCTGTATGCTGTGTGGGGAGAGGCTTGGGGTGGGGAAAGAGAAGCAGGAGACCACTTAAGAGGCTGCTGAGCGTCCCAGGTGAGACGCCAGTGGCCTGGATGGGGATGGATGGAGGGGTGCACTTGGAATATCCTACAGGGGTGATGTTAGCTCTTACTATTAACTAGAGGTCATTCTAAGCCAAAGTCCTTAGAAGATATTGCTGTTAGAGAGTCCTCGAGAAGTTTCTGGTATAGGAAGTGGGGTGATGATGCAGATATGATCTGAGATGGGCACCACTTGCTTGTGACTTGTTGGTCTCACTTTCAAGGAGGGCTGATAACCTGCACTCCCTGCCTGGCAGCCTCAGCTTGTCTTTCTCCTTATTCACTTTCAGCAGCAAGAAAAGAATCCTTAGGAACTAACACTTTTCATCTTCCCATGCTGCCCCTTCTGACAGCTGTTTGGCCAAGCTAGTTTAAAACTTTAAGTTCCAGACCATTATGTTTTTCCTGCCAGTATGTCGCTTATGTTTCAAGAAATACCTGTTTTTATAAATAAAGTTTTATTGGCACACAGCCAGGCCTATTTGTTTATATATTGTCTATTGCTGCTTTTGCAGTACAAGGGTAGTGAGTAGTTGTGAAACCATATGGCCTACAACTCTCAAACAAATGTCTGGCCCTTTAGGAACTTTGCCCAAGATCAGGTAGCAGGTTCACACCAGGCTGATTCCAGTGTATGCCCTTTTGATGTGGCCCACGACTCCCATTCCTCAAAGTTCTGGCTTGGGGGAAAAGCCACAAGCTGCTCACTGGCTCATGAGTATCTAATTTAATGTATGTACATAAACTGACTCCTGAATGCCAGAGACTGCCTCTGGGCTGAGGGGATGGATGTCCTGTGGCCTCCTGAAACTCTCCTCAGTCACTGTGCTCCTGTGTAGGAGCTAAGAACAAGTGAATTGACTCAAGCATGATTGGTGGAGTGCCTCCCTCAAGCTCACTAGATCCTATCCCCACCCCCATTTATACTTCCAGAAAGTGGAGGAGCTCCAGATCCCAGCAGCAGAGATGGTCTGCAGGCTTCACCTAGGATAACATCTGGGCCTCCCCTATAGCTCCAGGGGTGGGAGCCCCTCTCCCAACTTGTTACTGACTTAGGAAGAGGTAGAAGGACCAGTTTTCCAAGATCCAGGGGGCCCTCTTGCTTCTCTAGCTGGTCAGAATTGGGTGGAAAAGGAAGGAGCCAGGTTTGAAGGTCGGAGTACCAAGGAGAGAAGGAGTGTCCTTGGCTCCTCCACCCTGTTCTTGAGAGAGACACATGACCTGCAACTAGTATCTGTCTTGTATTAGGCAAACCAGCTTCAATTCCCCATTCCGAACAAGACTATACAAATCTCTATTTAGAAATCTCAGAAACAGAGATTGAGTAGGAAGATTTCAGAACCCAGAATCCCTTAGAGATAAGCTGCACATATAGTCATGTATGTTAACACCTGAACCAGGACTTTTTACTTTTAGATTGCCAGAAAATTTTATGCAATTAGCTTTAAAAACCGTTAAGCTGAATATAATTCTCTTACTGGTTATTGCACTTTTAATTTTCTCAACCCAATTTACTTTTTTGAAGATAAACATCTAAGTATTATACACGCCTAATTCATAAAATTTTACCTTATAGCACACTTGTTGACTTATGCTTTCTGGAATTTAAGGTTTCTATTATGCAGATTATTAAACTTCAGCTTTAAAATTATTCTAACTTTTCATAATTTGCCCTAATTACCTACCTTTTAATATGAAGTGAAAAAATCATTTTAGCAATAAATATGTTATGTAAGGAAGCTATTTCCATATTCAGTGAATATATCTTTAGTATACTAATTACTTATAGCAGTACCCCGTAGCTGCTAAATATTAAATGTAGATTACTTTTTCTTTCATCTTTTAAATTCAAGAGTTCCTTACTTTGCAATCAATGAATCACCTGAATAAAAAACATAAATGTGCACAAAAGCTGTTTGAGATTACATTACCACAGGCTTCATTCACAGCTAAATGAGAGAACCTCCTCTATCAACCTCAAAGATCTGTAATGACACAAAATGACACAAAGGCAACCTAAGCTGTATGTGTATTTGGCGTCTACTACCTAGGACCCTTATAAAACAGATTCAAATCTAGATCAAAGCTTGTTGTTATCTGCAAGGGACCATTAAACCTTCCATGTTGTCAGGGTGAAAGAAAAAAATTCTAAAACTCACTCACATAACTGACTTAACTATCTGTTTCCAGGGAAAAGAAACATACAATGCTGTGAAAGGGCTATGGTTAGTTTTTCTCATCAGCCTTCTAAAGGAGGGACTCCTAAGCCACTTTTATCTTACTACTGAAATCATATGAACAATATATCTATTTTCAAACAAATGGAAAAGGAAATATATAAAGTTCTTTTCAGAAGGAAAGCTTTTCCTATAAAATTTAAAATTTTTATTATTATAAACCAAACACTGGCAACCACATACAGACATTTGCTATGGACAAACTGAGACTGTGAGGTCCAGACTTTCAAATACAACTTCAGAGCTAGTTGCAAAATTTCAATATATTTTCTCAGAATTTGTATAATTTCCTTCAGTTTACAATACATGCTATGTAAAGTTTAATATGATGCTAAATAATGTACCATTTACCCTAAAAGTAGGTCATAGAAAACTGAATGACTATTACGATTGAATAATAACAAGGCTTTAACGGCTTGTTTCTCTTATGACTATATAAACAATATAAATCTCGAAAAGGTAATACTGTTAGTTGAGTAGTAAAATCCATAAAAATAACAGTTCTGCCACAGCACACAAATAAGTTCATTCGTGTTGTTGCCCTTTACCCTCACCAAGCAGCTTTCAGGTTAGAATTGAAAGACCGGCTGGGTAGAGTGCGCCAGTAGTCTCAGCTACTCAGGAGGCTTAGGCCAGACGATCACTTCAGTCCAGGAGTTGGAAGGCAGCCTGAGCAACACAGCGAGACTCTGGCTCTATTAAAAAAAAAAATTGGAAGACATAGAAAATCTATACATTCTATAGGGAATAATGAATATATTGAGAAGTAGAGTTTGCAGAAAGGAAACTAAATATTTCGTACTCCAACATCATACATGCCTATTAATAGGATTTTAATTAACTTAATGCTCGAGATAAGAATCTCAGCTGGGGTCCTCTTGCAGGAGTGGTGAGACCACTCATAGCTGAGGTCTTTCACTGCAACAAGGGAAGTAGTCTTCCGTCCGAAACAAGGTGGGGGGTTCGTAGCCCGTTTGCTGCAGCCTCGAGGGGGACGACTTGTTAAAGAGGGAGGGCACGTTCATTGTGTGCAGGAGTTTTTTGAAGGCCCTGGGGAAAGCCCCCAGGTCGGCTTCGGCTTTGGTCACTTGCTCCTCCATCCTGGCCACGCTGTTGCCGATCATCCTCACGAAGGCCTCCAGCTTGTCGATCCTGCCGTAGATTCGCCTCATCTCGGCGGCCTTCGCGTAAATGCGAGGCACCCCCTCACTGACGACGTGCGACGAGTCGCCGCGAATCATGTCCAGCATGCCCACGAACTCGTCCACTCTGGTGAGCAGGTCTTCGAGGCTGGCGTCCAGGGCCTCGACCTCGGGCCGCGCCCCGGCCCCGGGCAGCAGGCAGGCGGCGTAGCCCGCGGCGGCGCGGCGCAGCAGCGGCAGGTCCCGGCCCGGCGAGCCGTCCTCCGCGCCCTCGTCCTCCCACGGCCCCGAGGCGCTGCTGTGGCTCTGGGACACCGTACCGCTGTCCCCGCTCCAAGCGGCGCCCTGCGCCTCGGCCTCTTCCGCCGGCCCCTCGCGCTGCAGACCGGCAGACCGAGCCTCCATGACCCACGGCCACCCGCTCTGCGCAGCGACGCTTCCGGCTCTGCGCACTCACGTCCGCGCGCACGCCCCTGCTTGCGGCGGCTGCGGGACGGTGTGCGAGCACGCGCACCCACTTTCGTTTCCGGCGTCCAGGCGCGCTCACGTTCACACCCAGAACTTAAGAAAAGGATGTAAGAGGAATACAGTAAAGCGCGTTAGGTCTTAAGTGTGCACATTGATGACGTTTTACGTATCCATACAACCCTGTAACCTCTTTCCAGATCAACACATTGAACATGTCCGGCACCCAAGAAGGTCTCTCTCCTGTCCCTCATTTCTTTTTGCTGCTTATAGTAAATAAAAGAGATAAGCAAAAGGAAGGTCTGTTGAGCACAAAGGGGTTGGACCTTGATGACTCCGGATGATTTTGAAAGTTCTTACCTTCTTCATACTGTAAATGATGTAAAATTAAGAAATCTTGCAAGCAAATATCAAATCTCAGGTACTGCCAGAAAAAACAAAGATGAAGCTGAGGTGTGTCTGTAAAATCCTTAAAACTCTCAGAAAAAGCAAAGATGGTGCCTCAGAGTAAGTACCATTCAGTCAGACTAATAGCTCCTTAAAGAGATTAATGATGTGCCTCACAGAATGTCTCCCTTGAACAGTAGGGTCTCTAGGAAGCTTAAGGCCTTGTTCTTCAGCATTGTCAGCAGAAGCCCAACATAAAGATGGGCTTTTGTCTAATGGCCTGGACCCCAATGAGATTCAAAGGAGAGCTACGAAGTTTTTAAGATAATTATATTGGCACAAACTCTGCAGATTGGACTCAATAGGACAGAGACAGAGTGAAATAAAAGGCCTTTGGACTCCCTTGCTCAAACTTCTACAAGCAGGAAGCAGACTGAGAAAAGGACTCATTAGCAAACATATGCTACCTTTCTAAAAAAAGTATAACTTAGCGTGAAACCAAGAGTCCAGATAATGAAGCTGAGAGTCATGGAGAATTATTCCTAGACTTTGAGACTGAATTGCAGAATTATTATGGACCGGTCACCTATTTGTACTTCCCATTTATCCTCTATTTTTTTTGAACAGTAATGTCTGTAATGGTTATCCTATGCCTGCCCCACATTGTATATGGGATGTGTGAGGGCAGATAACTTGTCTCTTTAGTTTCAAGGTCTACGGATTAAGAAGAATTATACTCCAGAAGCTAGATTTAAGGAACTACAGTCAGGCAGTCTCATCCACACCTGACCTAATTTAGAAGACAAAGTTCGGGACTTGAAGCTGATGAGATAATTAGATACTAATACATGAAACTACATGAGATTTTTTAAAGATGTAACTTTTGGAGGCCTTGAGTGGGGTTGAGTATGGTTTGCATGTTAAGAGAACATGAATAATTGGTAGTCAGAGGGCAAACTGTGATTGCTAGGCAGCTTCCAAGATGACCCCCAGTGATTTCTACCTTCTGGTATTCATATTCTGGTGTATTCCCTCCTGTTGAGTGTGTACTGGACTTAGTGACTTGCTCATAATAAATAGAAAAAGACAGAAGTGATGGTGTGTGACTTGGGGATTAGTTCATAAAAGGTTCTCTCCAATCACTTGCTCGGGGGAAAACAAGCTGCCTGGTTGTGAGTAGCCCTATGGAGAGAAGCACACACATAGCAACGAACTTAGGTCTCTTATCAACATCTAGGGAAAAACAGCCTCTTTCCAATAATCACATGAGTAAGACATCTTGGAAGTGGATTCTCCAGCCCTATTCAAGCACAGAAATGACTGCAGGTGACATTTGACTGTGACCTCATGAAAGATCCTAAGCTGATACTACATGAGATAATGCTATGATCTGAATGTTTGTGTCACCCCCAAAATTCATATGTTGAAATCCTAATCCCCAAGGTGATGGTGTCAGGAGACAGGGCCTTTGGGAGGTGATTAGGTCATTGAGGTGGAGTCCTAATGAATGTGACTAGTGCCCTTACAAAAGACATACAAGAAAGATCCCTGTTCCTTTCACTGTGTGAGGACACAGCAAGAAGGTGCCATTTATAAACCAGTAAATGGGCCCTTACCAGACACAGAATCTGCCAGCACTTTGCTTTTGGACTTCTCAGCCTCCAGACCTGTGTGAGAAATAAGTTTCTGTTATTTATAAGCTACCTGCTTTATGATATTTTGTTATAGCAGCCCAAATGCACCAAGATAATAAATGTTTGAAGTTGCTAAATTTTGGGGTAATTTGTTATGCAACAATACGTAACTAATATACTATTGAAGGCTTATACTACAATTGATTTGTTTTATATATTTATTCTCCTGCTGATGAACATTTGGGTAGTTTTAACTTTGTAGCCATTATAATAAAGCTTCTATGAATATTCTTTTATATGTCTTTTTGTGGACAGATGTGCTCAAAATCTCTTGAGTATATACTGAGCTGTCAAACTGCCAGGTCATAGGGTTAGCATATGTTTAGTCTTAGTAGATACAGCCAAATAGCTTTCCAAAATCGTACCAATTTACATTCCCATCCCTGTGATCTGAATGTATGTGTCCCTCACAATTCATACATTGAAGCCCAAACCCTCAGTGTGGCCATATTTGAAGTAAAGCAGTAAGTAAGGTTAAATAAAGTCATAAGGGTGGGGCCCTGATTCAATTGAATTAGTGAGACAACAGACAGCACTCCCCCTACCACCCTGCACAAGCACAAAGAAGAGGTCACGTGAGGACTGCAGTGAGAAGGCAGCTGTCTGCAAGCCAAGAGTAGAGCCCTAACCTCACCAGAAACCAAATTTGCTGGCACCATAATCATGGATTCTAGCCTGCAGAACTGTGAGAAAATAAATGTCCGTGTTTAAGCCACCCAACCTGAGCAGACTAAGACACTATCGAGAATGTATGGGAGTTTCAGTTGTTCCACATCCTCCTATCATCAGTATTTTAACACATTGACTGCCACACCAGAAAAAATTTTTTCCCTGGGGCCACAGTGTTTTATTACAAAAATAGAATAAAAACTTCTAAAATGAAGTGATTCTAATTTAATGAAAAATTTATTTTTTAATGTTTTCTGTGTGTTGAGTTATATGCAACTTGAAAAATAGTTGATGGGGCTCAAGGAAAGGAGACGTGTGAGTTACACATGCTTCATGAGGGCTCGGGCTCAAAACTAGCATGAGTTAAATACAACTCACATGGCGGTTAGTGTGTTAAATTTTAATCATTCCAGTGGATATATAGTGTTTTCTCATTGTGGTTTTCATTTGCATTTCCCTGTTGAATCATGAATTCAAGCACCTTTTCATATACTTACTTATTGGATTTGAATATTGTTTTTTGTGAGGGGCCAGCTCATGTCTTTTGCCCATTTTTAAATTGAGTTGTCTTTTTCTTATTGATCTGTAGGAATTCTCAACATATTCTGGATATGTCTTTTGTCAGATATATCTATTGAAAATATCTTCTCCCACTCTGTGGATTGCTTTTTCTTTCTCTTAATGGTGTCTTTTGATGAACATCTGCTACTGTTTTGGTGTTTACAAACTCTTTCATGTACATCATCTCATGATTGCCTTTTCCCACTGACAGATATTCAGGCTGGGACCACTGGTTTTTATTTGTTAGACTGGAAAACTGAAGCTCTTATGTGTGACACTAGTACAAGCAGGATCCTCCCAGACAAACGCAGATTACTACTACGGTGGCACTGGGCAACCAAGCCTAGAAATAGACTTCCTCCATTCCATAGTGGCATGAGGTTGGTGATCACAATCTATTTGTTAAATGATTATCAAAGCCACACTTACTGAGCCCACGTGATTTTCAGGCCCTGTGGGTGATGAGGACATAAAGGTGACCAAGACCAGAACCTGCCCCCAAGGGCCCTCCAGTCTGGTAGAGGTGCTTATATATTAGGGAAGAATTACATCTCTCTAAAGAACCCCCTAAAGCCCTGCTTGAAGGCTGCCGGAAAGGGCTGAGGATAGAACCAAAACAGAAGTGGCCCTTTACCTCGAGGAGCTGTGTGACTGGGTCTGGTGAAAACAGACCAAGAATTATTGACCAGAACTCAAGGCAAAAAGAGGAACTCTCCCCAAAACAAAAGTGTGCGAGTGAGCCGTGGGCAGTGCAGAGGGAAGAGCTCCGTCCCAGAAGGGGGGATGTGTGGCAGCAGGGACTGTGGACCCAAACTGCTCTGGGTTCAAATTCCAACTCACACGCACGACTTTTAGCCCGTTTTCCACCTAGCTTATAGGTTCCTCGTTAAGAGTTAAATGAATACAAGTTAACCTGAGCTTGTGCATGCTGGGATAGTAAGTGATGTGAAGCCAGCAAGTCCTATTCAAAAATGGGGAAACAGAATCGCTTTTATTTAAAAATAAAAAAAGTAAAAGCCCTCTAGAAGGGAAGCTCTCGAGGAGGAAGAGAAGCAAATACGCCGCCAACAAACCACTTCCACCTTCCAAGGCGGAATAGAGAACGGAGCGGGGCGGGTCACGGGGAAGCAGCAGGTGATGGGCGTGCGCGCGCCCAAAGACTGTTTACGGGCTCGCGCGCGCCCCCTCGTCCTGCCGAAGGCGTGACCGTAAAGGGGCTCGGCCATGTCGTGAAAGGGCCGCAAATACGCCGAGGGCGGGTGGACGGCGGTGAGTCCATTTTGTTCGCCGGTCTGTTATAGGTGTAGGGGGTGTTTCCACAGCAGTTCTGAGGCGGAAGGCTTAAAATTAAATGGAAGAAAACATTTAAAGATAATTCGGGAACACTTGACAGAGTGTGGGTCGCTTCGACTTCAGCAGGAACTGCTGATCCACCGTCCCCACGGCGTGCGAGTAAGAAGAACGTCGGTTCCGCGGTTCTGAAGAAGTGGCAGGAGGAGATGCGGCCCCTGGACATCGACGAGGTGGAAGCGCCAGAGGAAGTGGAGGTGCTGGAGCCCGAGGAAGACTTCGAGAAGTTTCTGCTTCCAATCATCAACGAGATGCGGGAGGACATCGCGTCTCTTATACGGGAGCACGGGCGGGCGTATTTGAGGACCAGGAGCAAGTTGTGGGAGATGGACAATATGCTCATCCAAATAAAAACCCAGGTGGAGGCCTCGGAGGAGAGCGCCCTGAATCACGTCCGGCATCCAAATGGGGACGCTGACGAGAGAGTGTCGGAGTTGTGCGAGAAGGCCGAGGAGAAAGCTAAGGAGATCGCGAAGATGGCAGAGATGTTGGTCGAGCTTGTCTGGCGAATAGAGAGAAGCGAGTCGTCTTGAAGGAGAATATCGCGGAAGGTCAGGAACGAGGGGGAGCCGGGTGGAAGTTTCAGTAGTTGCCATAGGCATGGTCAGACAGCCTCTTGTAAAAAGGGTGATTAATATTCTGGGAGCAAATCCTCCATTTTATTCCCTCAGAAATTGGTCATTGGGAACAAAATCGGGTTCAAGCTGCGTGCTAGTTTTGTTAGGTGTTAGTGTATTCTCTTTTTCTGTGGCACCTCCCTTTCCCAGTGGTAATTAGAGAAAAATGAAAGTAACTTAAGGTATGTTTTTTGTGGACCATAAAGGTCAATTCTAATAGGATAGTCGCCAGAGGTAGACCTGCCTAGGCACTAAGGGAGTTGGGGTGGAAACCAAAGAAAACCTAGGCCATAGAGAAAAATGGGAGAGAGTGAGAATGCAAGGAAAGAGAAACAGAAAAGTGTAAAGCCAGAGGCAATTTCCAGTTTTTTCTGGAAAGCAGGTATGTCAGAGGATCTTCTCTGAGAGAAGTGGCATTCTTGTGGGTGGTTAATATTTCTTAATGTCAGGGTATGGAAATCTGAGATTCAGTGTCTTGATGGTAAATTTCTTTCAATTGTACTTCAGGTTCACAGCTGATGGATTCTGGTCAACTGGTAAGGACAGACTGACACCTTGAGGAGACTGAAACAGCTTGCCATTTTCTCTCTTGTTTTGTATGTTTTTTACTCCCCATGTAACGGTCTCCCTGATGGTCAGTGGTTGATGACCTTGATAGGGACTTAGATCATCAAATGTATTTGGTTCTAGAAAGATAACTTTTGTAAGAGAAATGAGGCTTAGTCAAAAGTTATTTTCATGGTCTCATTTATTCTTGTGACTTTGCTGTGATTTTGAAATGCTGGACATGGCCTTGTATTTGGCTGTTACCTATGTGACCCGATTGTTTTTTGGAACTTTGGAGCATGTGCAAACTTGGGATCAGAATCTTCCACCTTCAGAGGTGCAGTGGAAGGCTCTGTGGTGCTTGGTTGAACCTGGCAAAGAGTGTGTGAATGAGATTGCTTTGCATGAAGTTGGGAAGAACTACAAGATAGTTGGAGACGAAAGATGGTTTTGTATATACTTTGGAAGTTCAGTTCTTCTGTGAGACGAAGGAGGAGAGCTGTTTTGTGGCACATTGTCTGATGTATATTGTGTAACCTGTCAGGTGAATTTATTTAGACAATGTGGCTGACCTCATATGACAAAGAAGTTTGAACAGGGAATGATGGAGTGCACTTCACTGTTGTAGTACCCTCACCCATTGCAGGGGCTTCAGAGAGACAATCAACCAAGAGCCTTGAGAGGCTGGAGAAAGGAAAAGGGATTATCAGGGCTCATAAAGCCTCTTCTAGTTCATCAGGGTGGTAGACCTGACAGAGGTTTGAGGTCAAAGTCAAACATCTAATTGGTGTTAATTTGCCTTGAAAAACAAAGACCTAAAAAGCCTTTTTTAAAAAAAATCTAGCTTTGTTCAAATGACCAAAGCTCCTGTGTGTGTTAGTAAAAGAATCATAAATAAATTTTTTTAGGTGGATGTTATTCCTTGAGTGTCATCATTGTCAAGTGAGGGTGAACTACCTGTAGTTTGTGAGCCTTTCAGCAAGTGTTTAACTATGAGGGAGAATTATTTGTGGAAGGTTCCATGGGGATGAGCTGACAGAACACTCAGTGTTTAAGAGAAACAAACCTTAGGCCAGCTTAAGCTTTTTGGCAGCTGAAGTGTGTTTAGTCGATCAGTGGGTATGTGATGGGCTTCATATCCTATCCATGGCGCTAGGAATACAAAGGTAAGACATGGATTGGGCAAAGGTGTGGGACAGAAATGGAAACAGAGAATTGCAATATGGTGTGCTTGAGTATCTTGTGGGAGCCTTGAGGAGGGAGTCAACCCTGTGCACAGGAGTCTGGGAAGGATTTTCAGAGCAAGTGACTTAACTGGGCCTTCAAAGCAGAAACAAGTGAAGGCATGTGAGGCACAGGGAAGAGCGTGAGCAAGAGCATTGTGAGTTCTAGTACGGGGGAGATGGCCAATGAGCTGGAATTTAAGGAGGAGGGGGAGTGGGAAGTTGTGGGAGACGAGGTGAAAGCAGCAAGCAGGGCTAAGAAGTCTTGGTTAAGGAGTTCATTCATCTTCATAAGCCTGTACTTTGGTGAGTGTTGTCTCACAGAGTGCTCCAGGATGCTCAGAGAATAGGCGTAGTGCAATAGCCAGAATTGCTAAATGTAATTCGATAAGAACAAATATGTGATCATAATAACAAATTTAGGTACATGTTTTGGATTAATGTATAAAGTGGTATTTTTAAAATCAAGTACCTGAACACAGAAAAATCATACTTACAGAAGCTGTTTCTGGCTGTGTTGCGGTTTCTAAAATCCTTGTTCATGCTCCTGTCTTTCTGGGTTCTTCAGTGGAAATGAGAAGTACTGCTGGGGAGACAGTGACATTTTCTGGTGAGCAGGGGAGCGACAGTCACATCTGTGGCTTAGAAAGGTTACTCAAGACTGCAGTGTATGGATTAATGGGAGTTCGAGTGGAGGCAAGAAGATAGGGGCTGGTGCAGAAGGCAGATGGGAATTGAAGGCTGAACTGGAGCCGAATGAGTGGGAAGGACCAGCGAGCGAGGCTTTTCGGGGGCCAAGACTTGGTGTCTTTCTGTGTCAGTCAGCTAAACTGCTGTAACAGTTCACCCTAAGTCTTAGTGGCTTACAACACCCAAGGTTTATTTCTCATTCATGTTTATGTATGTTGCAGGTTAGTTGCTCCAAGTTCTCCTAATTCCAGGACCTGGCTCAAGGAGCAGCTGCTCTTGGGATATTGTGGATCTGGATTAGGGAAGCTGTTAGTTACAAGTTACTTCACTGATTTAAAAACATGCTTTGGGGGTGAAAAAGCCGAATCCTAGACATACACATATATGCTATATACATATATGTGTGTGCATACATACTATGTATACATATATTTTCCCCTTGGTTAATTGACCAGAGATTATATTCATTTACAGGGTTGCCTTTCATTTCTTCAGTATCTTAGGTTTTGATTCTAAGCCTACTGAATCATTTTTGAACCTTAGCTCTGTGCAGAACATTGTTGTGACAGGCTAATTGTCTTAATCCATGCTGTGATGCAAATAAAATTTAGAGGCATCCAGGGTTTTGTCTGTTTCCTTCTTAGCTCACACATTTTTCCTTAATTGAATTGTATGTACATGGAATTTAAACATCTTCAAAGTCAGCTAGAAAATTTGGATTGGCTTCTGTCAGAAGCTCTGGAAGTCATTAGTCTGTCATGTATGAGTCAGTCACACCCAAGCTCCTCTCTGAAATCTGAAATTCTACACTCTTCCAGAAGACTTGGCAAATTCTCCAGTCTTTGTTGTGGCCCGATTGCAGAAAGAAACACACAGACACACACAAGACGTACAAGACTACAGTGCCCGATTTGGACCAGTCGCTTTATTATATACTTTTTCTATGTCCGGCAGCTACTTCCTGGTACGTGACTACCTTGGGCACCTTGAGGAAAACACATTTTCATTCCTTCCAGACGATTGCTCAGTGGAAGCAGATGTTTGCATCTTAACTTCTTTATCTCATTACCATATGCAGGACAATGAGTCGCCTTGGCTTGTTTGCAAGACCCCAGGCGCTTGGTTATCTGTCATAAAGCTGTCCGTCATGAGGAGTAGTTCCGTTTGTCCAACAGGCCGTGTCTGGACCTGTTGTCCTCTGGCCCCAAGGAGAGCACATCCAGTTTCGCTGACTCTGGGCTTAAGCCAATTTTTGCCCAGGAACGGTCCCTACAGTCTTGACTTGCATTGGCTGGCTGGTGATGACTGAGTCTTCAATAACGTTTTGTTTCACTACATCACAGAGTTTTTTCTGAAAACATTTTGAATGTCTAACATCCACATGGCTCAAAATACCACTTTTCAAGTCTCTGCTCAGATGTTATACCAGAAAGGCCTTTCTGTAACAGCCTGTTTAACATAGCACTGCCGTCGCCTGTTACTGTCCTTGACTTTTCTTCACGCTACTTGACGTGATTATATGTGTGTTGTCTGACTTCTCTCTGTAGAATGTAGCCCTGTGAGAGCAGGGATTTTATTCACTGCTGAATTCCTAGCACTTACACCAGGGTCTGGCTGACACATGGTTGGTGCCTAATATTCATCGAACGAATGAGTGCAAGTTAGGTATGTAAATTAGACCTAGTTGTGTCTGCTACCAGTGCAGATAACTGAAGTTACTGAGTGGACACTTTAGTGTCATTCTTGACATTTTCCTCCTCAGCAATGCCCTCCCCATCCCATCTGTCACTAAAGCAGGTTGGTTCTGCCTAGAACACACCTTGGATTCATATGCCTTCAAGCGTCCCTCCAAGCATCCAGTATGAGTCTTCTAACTGGCTTCTTCGCTTTCAGTTTTACTCCAGTCCTCTTCCTTCACAGATCAGGTAGAGCGAATTGGGTTATGTCAAGTCCCACTTGAAATCCTTTAAAAAATTCCTTTTGCGACAGATGTTTTTTATTTATTCATTAATATTAGCTCCTACTATAGACCAGGCTCTATTCTAGGTACTGGCAGACACAGCACTGAACAGACAGTCCAAAAATCCTGCCCTCTAGAGCTTCATCCTAGTGGTGGAGATACACACTAAGCAGGATACATAAGTGCTAAGGGTATTCATTCATTTATTCTACATAGGTGGTACATAGATATTCAAGAATTTCTGCCATCTCCCAGAGCTGTCTTATCCTGGTTTTCCTCAGTTGCTGCCCCAAATTTAAACCTCTTCGCTGGTCCTCTCCCAGTGTTTCATCCTCAGTGTTCCAGACTTCATCTTTTCTGACTTGTCTTCCTCCCACCTCTTTACAAACTCTTTCTAATACCGACTTCAACCAAAGTCTGGCTGTCTCTGAACAGCAGGCTCTGCAGCCTCAGTGTACAACTTCTCCGAACACTACTCAACTGTCTGGGTGAAGCCACAGAGAATATAGATACTGAGGTATGTTCAGGGCTGCAATTTTGCTAGGTGGTTGCAAATTCTTAAAAATGTGTGTGTGTCTATATCTGTATACAGTTGATTCTCATATTTGCAGTTATATAGAGTCACCATAAAGACTAAATTAGCAAACACTGATTCACTTCCCCTAAGGAAAATTAAAGGATTAGGTTCCTAACAGCCTCTGGCCACATTTTCATCAACTGACCAATATATAACATTGTTTTTAACCTTGTGTTTCTGTTTAAAGACACTTTATTTAACATATATTGCTGATTCATTAACTTTGAATTCAAAGGCAATACAGCACTATAACTCATGCCTCAACAAAGCGTATCTAACACACATTTTCTTCATAAGCCACTTCACAGCCTTCTTGTGCTTAGGAACACTAGACAGTGCGTCAGCATTATGCTTAGGGGGACATTTTAAGCAGCAAAAAGCACACAAATGGGAAAAATGTGGCACTGAGTAGACTGTGAAAGGGACTTTTTTTTTTTTTTTTTTTTTTGAGACAGTCTTTCTCTGGCGCCCTGGCTGGAGTGCAGTGGCATCATCATAGCTCACAGCAACCTCAAACTCCTGGGCTCAAGCCATCCTCTTGCCTCAGCCTCCTGAACAGCTGGGACTACAGGCATGCGCCACCACACCTGGCTAATTTTTTCTATTTTTGGTAAAAACAGGGTCTCTCTTCCTCAGGCTGGTCTCCAACTCCTGAGCTCAAGTGATCCTCCCACCTCAGCCTCCCAGAGTGCTAGGATTACAGGCATGAGCCACAGTGCCTGGCCGAAAGGGACATTTTTTAACAGCATGAGAACTGGAAGAAGAAGTTCGACTTGGACTGGGAATGTACATGTCAGACAAATAAAATGTTTTGCTGCCCTGCACATAGCTGCTAATGACCAGGAAAGCACTAAGAGTATTGATTGGGGTTGCAAATAAATTTTAGCAAGTAGGTGAATTTGCAAATACAAAATCCATGAATAATGACTGTAAACAACACACGCATGCGTGCACATGCACACACACACACACACACACACACACACACACGATGATATAGGTGTCCTGGTGGAGGCCATGGTGCTCAGATCAGGGCTCAAAGCCCATGCAGGGTGGAGAGGGCATCCTCACAGGGGAGCAGCCTGGCATGGGGTCAGAGCCCTCTGAGCAAGGTGAAGAGGATATCTGGCGGAGGGAGTTGTTCCAGTGTGGACAGTCTAACTTCCAGCAGTGTGAGGAGGACATCCATGTGGGGATGGGTCATGGGGAGGCGAATCTAGCCTGGGAAATCAGAGCCCAGGCAGAGTGAGAAGAGAGTCCCCAGGGGGGATTCTGGGGAGTCAGGGCCCAAGTAGGATGACGAGAGTACCCACACATGGGGACAAGCTGTGCAGCTTGAACAGGGAGAGAAGGGCATCCACAGAACAGGCCAGTCCTGCATATGACTCAGCCTGAGAGACAAGGGGGGTGTCTCTGCAGGGGCAGACTGGTATGGGGTTCAGAGCCTGAGTAGGGAAGAGGTTTCTACAGGAGAGTTGATGCCAGCAGAGGGAGAGGAATGTAAATAGAAAACTAGAATGGACCCTGTGGTATTGGGTTGAAAATGGAGGCATCCATGTGAACTTGTGGTGTTTATATACATGATAGATATAGAACTACAGGTGCGTGTATCTCTATGTATATATGTACACATGTTCTCTAGTTCTGTCTATTGAGGGGCTGGGAACAGTGACACGCTAGTAACAATGAGCACATGTAGTTCTCAGATCTTGGCTTATAAATACCATTTTACACTAAAAGGAACTAGGGCAGCTTGGAAAAATGGCCAATTCCAGAGCTAGGGCAAGAAAATGCAAGATGTATCTGGAACATCTTGCTGTGACAGAAAGCAAGGGTGTGTTCAAAGCATGTCAAAGGACACAGGAACCAGCTTAAACAGGCTTCCATTGATAAGATCAGGGGCAACTTGAGCATCAGAACAAATACTGATAAGTGGGGGATTACAACCCACTGAATAATATGGTGACGCAGGAGTTCACATAAATATGAATACATGAATAAATTAAATGCTCGCTGAGGAACAGAATATTTGCATAGTTTCAAAGTTCCTCTCTATAAAATACTTAGTAATTACAAAAGTGAAAAGAATAACTCCATAGTGGATAAGCCTTTGATTTGAGCAGTGGGAGCCCATTCAAGCTGGCTTCTGTGTCCTTTTGACATATCCAAGTTATTCTTTGAACACACCCTTGCTTTGTGTCACAGCAAGATGTTCTGGATACATCTTGTACTTCCCTTGCCCCAGTTCTGGTATGGGCCATTTCTCCAAACACCATGTTAATCAAGTGGTCAAAGTAAACACGATCAGTAATGGGACAAATTGAAATTGTGTGCCGTCTGATACGATGCGATGATTAGAAAATTGCATCACTTCCTGGATATTCTTGCCAAAGATACATAAACTGAACTGAATCATGAGGAGACATCAGACAGATTTAAACTGAACGAAGCTCTACAAAATAGCAGCTTGTACTCTTCAGAAGTGTCAAGGTCATGAAAGTCTAAGACTGAGGAACTATACCTGAATAAGAAGACCAAAGAGATATGCTAACTAAATGCAACAATGATGTTTTTTGCTATAAAAATGATCCTTTTGATTTCCGCACCTTCTGTGTGGCTCTCCGGCGGAGCCGAGCGCACTCTCCCTGACCTCGGCTGCGCTCCTTGAGGAGTGGTGAGTCTGCGGAACCGCAGCCATGACTGAGGCTGATGTAAATCCGAAGGCCTATCCCCTTGCTGATGCCCATCTCACCAAGAAACTATTGGACCTCATTCAACAGTCATGTAACTACAAGCAGCTTCGGAAAGGGGCCAATGAGGCCACCAAAACCCTCAACAGGGGCATCTCTGAGTTCATTGTGATGGCTGCAGATGCTGAGCCGCTGGAGATCATTTTGCACCTCCCACTGCTGTGTGAAGACAAGAATGTGCCCTACGTGTTTGTGCACTCCAAGCAGGCCCTGGGGCGGGCCTGTGGGGTCTCCAGGCCTGTCATTGCCTGTTCTGTCACTATCAAAGAAGGCTCACAGCTGAAGCAGCAGATCCCGTCCATTCAGCAGTCCATCGAAAGGCTCTTAGTCTAAACCTGTGGCCTCTGCCACATTTTCCCTGTTGACTCCTCCCCCTGAGGTTGTGTATCATACTGTCTGTGTTAGCATGTAGTATTTTCAGCTACTTTCTATTGTTATAAAATACTGTAGTACTGCATTTGGTTTCTGGAGTTTTGTATTGTTTTTGTTCTGTTTTACAGGGTTGTTTTCTCCCTTCTAACCCCTTCTACATTCTCTCTGCCATCGTTCATCCTTTTATCCTCCCTTTCGAAAAATGAACTGATGCTTAGAACAGATGTAAGCAGACTGGTGGCACCATTCAAAGGCAGGAAGAGCCAGGAGAAACCTTATGGAGCCAGGATAGAGATATGGTTCCAGCTCTCATCTGTTAACTTCCTACTGTGTGCAGGATATGATTCAAGTAAACACTATCCATTTTGTATCCCTTGTGCTTGACATATAGAATCATTCCTGTGTTAAAATGATCAAGGGGTTTTCTTTGCTCTCCAGGGGATTGTGTATCATTTGGAGAGGAAGCATGTGTTCTGTGAGGTTAGGCTTATGTCCAAGTGTCATTTACAAATGTACCCATGCTGTTTGCTTTTGGTAATAATGATGTTTTGTCCTTTCCCTCCCTGACCCCCGTCTGTACCCCTGAGGGTGGCAGGGCAGCAGGATTCTAGAGGTGCCCGGGTGAGTGAGACATGGGGCGCTTGACCTGGGTCTTGAAAGAGTCAGGAGTGTCAAGGGCAGAGCATCATCTGATGCTGGAACAAAGGATTCTAGGAAGATCATGGAGACCTGGCTGGTAGCTACAACAGAGATAATGGAGTCTAAGGAAACAACTTCTCTTTGGGGAATGGGGATTTCTTCAGTGGACACTTGGCCCAGCTCTGAGAGCCCTTACCAGCCTGTTGCCTGCCACAGTTGGGTCAGATACATTCTTTATCACATGAGAAGAGTGCTACTATGTCCTTCATTCTTGTGAGCAGCCTAATAAAGAAATATATTTGTATTCCAATTTAAAAAAAAAATGATCCTTTTGCTTTATAAAAGACATTATTAGAACAATTGGCAAACTTGAATGGGGCTTAAGATTAGATGGTAGTAATGTATTGATGTTAATTTTCTGACTTCATTGGTTGCTTCGCATTGTGGTTACACAGGAAAATGTTCTTGTTTGTAGGACATGCACTCTAATGTATTCAGGGGTGGTGGATCAGCTTATTCTTAAGTCATTCAGAAAAATAAAGTTCTTTGTACTGTACTTCTAACTTTTCTATAAGTTTGTGATTTCTGTAAGTGTCGAAATTTAATTCAGAATTGCTGTGCTTATGGAACAGTTAGGTAGGCCAAGGCAGGCCCATTACCCAAGGCATCTGACCCGGAGGTGGTGGAAATGTGCTGGCATTAGGTAGAGACCGGGCTTAGCCCGAGGAGCAATTCTGCAAAGCAGCAGCAGGAGGCGCTGGCGATAGCCCAGGAGCCAGGAGAGCCTCCGTCTCAGGTGGCCACCTGTCCTGCTGGAAAAACATCACAAATAAAGCTGGTGGGTTCAACCGGGAAGTGGCTGCTGCCACTCGTTTTTCCAGGCAGGACAGTGGAGAAACACTTGACTTGGGTTAAATATTTTTTTTTTTTTTTGAGACAGAGTTTCACTCTGTTGCCCGGGCTAGAGTGCCATAGCGTTAGCCTAGCTCACAGCAACCTCAAACTCCTGGGCTCAAGTGATCCTACTGCCTCAGCCTCCCAAGTAGCTGGGACTACAGGCAT